TCAAGAGAGAATAAAAGGAAAGAATGTGCTGGATTTACAAATGAGTGTGCTCAGCGTTGCTCATCTCCTTTCCTTGGATCCGCTTAGCTGATTGTCTACGTCCACTCTTCTGGGGGAAGAATCTCTCTCAGGAGTCTTCTGCCCAGTTCTTCCACAGAGACTAGGGCTTCGCCAAAGACTCCAACCCTCTGTCCATAGCCAGCCATCTCCCTCCTTCCCATCTTGGGACTTGGGTGAAGATATCATTTCTACGGGACTTCGCTTCTCTTCCTCCAGGGAAGCCACCCATAGACTTTTCTTCTCCCTCTCCAACAGGGAACCAACAACTCATATCAACTTTACTCTCCAAGTTTTCTTTCCAGCTACACCCTTTTACAACAATCTTTGTAGTTCTCATTTTCTCTCCTCTCCTTCTCTCTCCCTCTCTCCAGTTTTGGGTCAGATCAACAGCGTGTCCCCCAGCAACTGAGGAGGCAGGTGTTTGCCCAGGGGTCTAGTTCCCAACACCTGTATACCAGGCTGGACCAATGGGACTGCTGTCTCCAGATCTCACCACAACAGCCCTTCAAGACTAGAACAGCAGCCATACCAGGCCACTAAAAACCATATGCCACACCATCCCCATCCTAGAAAACTTGCTAGTCGTAGCAATCTGACCCTAACTAGTAGAAATGGCCACCCTTCAAAAGTTCAAAAGTTTTTGTTTTTTTAAAAAACAGAATTAAAGACCATCACTCCTTATCTAGAGAACAAGGTCCTTATTGTTAGCCACTCCGAGTCACAGGGCTGGGATGGGTGACCTTCTACATTCTTTAAATAAATAAATTCTTCAAATAAGTAAAACTAATCTCCCATTTCCCTGATTTGCAAAGCTGAATGGTCTTCATTACATTCAGAGAATGTAAATGAATAGCCTTTGCTGTGGTTACTGACCAGACCAATACAGCATAGTTTTACAACTAAAACTATAAATCCCAAAGAGAAATACCGAAATAGTTTCTATAAAATGACAGTAAATAAAACACAAAGTCTATGCTAACATGTAGTAAGATAGTAAGAAGTCCTGTAAAGGAAAACAAGAAATAAACATGCTTATGTCCAATTCAGTAAATTGTGCTCCTTTTTTGAAACTACTGATAACTCACTGAAAGTTGATGGTGATTGCAGAACGGGTTTCCCCAACCTCAACCCAGATGTGTTAAGACTACAGTTCCCAGAATTCTTAGCCATCTGGAGGTTCTCAGATTAGGGAAGGCCAGCATGCGGGGGGGGGGGTGTCTTAAGAACAGCCCCTGCTTATTCCATTGGTTAATTTACTTGTTACTTTAGCATGTCAATCTTCTAAAGGAGCTTGCGTTGAAGATATGCTTGAAGAGATCTGATGATGCTAGAATCCTCTCTTTTTTCCTTCCCTCTCTTATACAGCTGATGTCTCTCCACGTCGATTCCACGAAGCTCTGAAGAAAATTATTGATGGGAATAATCAAGTGGAAACCATTCACATAGGGGACAGCAGTTACTTCTTCCACTGTGAAGAAATTGACAAAAGTAAGATGTGCATCGATTTTGCATTTCTTCAGATTTGGCAATGACTCACCCCGCCTTCCCCCCCCCAAAAAGGAAACAAAATGCTTTAAAAATACATGTTGAAGGATAACATGTATTTAGAAATGCATACATGGAGGAGAGGAAATCTTTTAGAAGGACAAAAGTATTCTATATACAAATACAAAACGAGACATTACTTAGATGTTCGGTTTCAACAAGCCATACAAGCCACATGCAACATAGCCAATTTTTCTGGTCTTCAAAGTTCCCCTTTCAAATTTTTAACTGCTAAAGTTCAGTGGCATCACTTTTATTAGATTCCCTCCCCCTCCCCAGAAAATAACTAAAATCAAAAGGTATTAAGCCCCTACAAGCCGTCATGTGCACATTTTATAAGATATTGTGCCCATTTGGGAGATGCCACCTAATTTTCATTACCAGTTTGGCTCCACAATTATGGCTGACTGACAATGTAAATCCTCATTGTTTAATTTTTTTTCTCCTACACATGAATAAACAGATCCGAGGCTGGGAATTCTGAGGAAGGCTGGAATGCAACGTTCCAAGGAAAAGATATAAATTTTTGTAAAGCTTTATTGCAGAGCAAAAACCAGTATTCAGTTCTGAGCCCAGGTGTTGGGGTTTGGGGGAACATTCCCCCGCGAAAATCCCCTCTAGGAATATCCCAGATGTTCCACATGTAGAACAACCAGTTTCAGATAGTCCATGTCCAGACTGAAGCAGGAGTTTTTGGCCCAGCCAGGAGCTTAACACATGCATGTTCCCGCAGAAGTTTTTTTGGACAGGCAGAGTGAAAAAAATGGGAGTGAGAAAAATTCAAGGTTGGTGGTATTCAGTGATGGCAGTGATGGAAGTAGATAAAGAAAGTGCTGGAAGAGTGGCAGGAGAGCAGGTAAGTTGGTTAGATATGTCACAGCTGCCATGCACTGCCATCTTTGAATTCAGATATGACATATCCAATGGGCTGGCCTGATCTTCCAGCACCTCCCTTTCCACATCTCCCCCTAGCCACCATAGCTATGATTGAGTGAGATCACAGAACAGGTGGAAGGGTGGTTGGATATGTTATATTTGAATGCAGCAACAGCATATAGAGGCTAAAGAAATGTTGGTGGGGGGAGCAGTTGGGAGTGGGGCAGGCCACAGGCCATGCAAAGGAGGAACAGAGAAAGTCCCATGAGATCTTTCCAGATTTGTCTTGGCCAAAACATGGAACAATCCAGAGTTTCTTGGTTTTGATTTGGCCAATCGGGACTCACCTGGAATGTTTCAACCAAACTTCTAAGCCACCATGAGTTTGTTTCATGCATGAAACAAAACACATTTTCATTTCATGCACACCCTTGGTCCCCTCTTTTCATATGTGGATTTATCTCCTCCTTCCTGTTGCTCTTCAAGGGAACTGAATATGTTAAATTGTTCACTGAGTGATGTCATTCAGGTAGTTTGGATGGTAGTACAGATAGTCCTCACTTAACAACCATTTGTTTAGTGACTGTTCAACGTTACAACGGTGCTGAACAAAGGGACTTATAACCAGTTGTCACACTTACAACTGTTGCAGCACCCCCGCGGTCACATGATCGCAATCCAGGTGCTTGGCAACAAGCTTGCACTTACGATGTTTGCAGCATCCTGGGGTCACATGATCGCCATTTGTGACCATCCCAGCTGGCTTCTGGCAAGCAAAATCAGTGGGGAACCATGTGATTTGCTTAACGACCGTGTGATTCACTTAACAGCTGCAGTGATTCGCTTAACAACTGTCCCACTTAACAATGAATTTTCCGGTCCCTATTGTGGTCATTAAGCAAGGACTACCTGTACAGCAATTGGATGGTGCTGTTTTGGTTGACAGCTATTAGGGTCGCCATCCTTGTTATAAACCCTACTTTCTTTACTAGTTACTTCTTTACTTTACTTTACTCTTCTTTTTGGCTGTCATGTGTTCTCTTTTGTCATTTATGTCCAGAACTATAAAAAACAGGGAGACTAACTTCTTTGTTCTCTTCTTAGGAGTGGGCAGAATCTGAGTCTGTGGTGGGGTAGGGGTATAGAGTAGTTCATTGTGTCCAGCTACTTTGAGATCATTAGATTTAGATAGAACTGCTTTGACTTGTAATAGTTAAGATGGCCACTTCCTAGCTTAACCATTAAAAACCTTGTGCTATTCTCCCAAGATTTCTGCCCTCTTGCACAGAAAAAATCCTGTGATTCCTTAAGTCATGTGCTGATGGTGAGTCCAAAGTCATATGTTTACAGCAGAGTTTTTCATCCTTAGCAACTTTAAGATATGTGGACCTCAACTCCCACAATTTCCCAGTGTGCTGCCTGGGGAATTCTGGAATTTGAAGTCCACACATCTTAAAGATGCCAAGGTGGAGAAACATTGGTTTAGAGCAGTGTTTTTCAAACTTGGCAAGTTTAAGAAGTGTGGACTTCAATGCCCAGAATTCCCCAGACAGACATCTTGAAGTTGCCCATGTTGTGAAATACTGATTTAGAGGAAGCTGAAGTACCCTCAAAGTAGGGATTTCATGATATGCTTTTGTGTTATGGGAAAGCACAAGGTTTGCACAGTTGGTCAAGGATTTAAGATTTTCTACAGCTTCTGGGTTGCCAGGATTTAAATGTCTCTTAGCAACAGCTGTTTCAGCTGCAATATTAGAAGTTCTTTTGTCTGTAATATCAGTAATATCTGGCCAGGAACAATAGGGAGTTTATGACCATTTACTTGGTCTATAATTTTCTGTTCCCTTTTCCTCCCTGTCAATGATCTGCTCACCAACATTCTTTGGAGCTGTACCTCTAGAAAAAAAAATCAGTAATTTTTCATTGCTTTTGAGATTTGATATACACATCAACCCCTTTGGTTAAAGGACATACAATAGCCCTTTATATTTGTAGCCAACTCTAAGAACTGTTGTTTGAATGCCTGGTAGACCACTCTGAGTGGCTCACAACAATCAAAGAAATTTCAAAAAAGCATTAAAAATAAGAAAAAAAAGATGGTAAACATGATGATATGATAGGTCTCTCTTTCTTCGCCAAAGGCCTGGATGGAGAGCAAGGTCTTCATGGCTCTTCAAACAACAGCAGAATGGGGGCCACCCAGATCTCAGGGAGAACCTCATTCCAGAAGGCCAGCCCTGCTACAGAGCAGGATCTCAAAGTCATAACCTCAGTTCAGTGAGTCCCTTCAGAATCTCTTCACAGAGAGAAACCTGATAATGTATGAGTTCCACCTAAAGTTCCACATTTTTTATTTGTGTATTTCTGGCTAGTTAAGCAACCCAATTTAATCTGAAAAATCTTCATGGACCTGTTTCTGGAGAGCATAAAAATCCAAATGTGAAAATAACATATTGCTGTGGCAATATGGTAATGTAGCCATGTTTATTCTCAGGGAGTTTTTGTTTCATCTCTTCCCTCATTGCTGTCCAACAGAAACATTTCACAGTTAATTAGCCCCGAAACTTACAGTCCAGAGAGAGAGGATAAAATGTGAAATGAAAAAATATTCAGGAGCTCACAGGTACAATCCTGCTGCTATCTCTGCCCCCAAATCAGAAGTTTTTTCTTTTGTTTCAAGACAACAATAATTGAACAGGAATCCAGAAAAGGAGGAGGAACAATTGGGAGAAGAGAATTCCAAGGGTTTGGCCGCAAAGTGGACATTTATACATCAACATCCAGAAGAGAGGAAATGGATCTGTTTTAATGAAATAGATGGAAATAGAGATTTGCGTGCCAGTTGCACCTGATAATTTATATGGGCTGGTGCAAACTTAGATACAGCACTATTCATTCTAGGAGGCTGAAGCATTCTGAGGGTGCAGGAGTTACTGAGAGCAGGAATCTGGCCTGAGCAAGGATTGGTGGAACAGGTTTAATAACTATAAAAGAAAAGAGATTTATTTACAGGCGGTATAGAGACAGGCAAAGCCTAGCACCTACTTAGGAACAGAGTCCTACTAGGAGGACTCTCCTCCTAGGAGCAGAGATCCTACTAGGCATCCTACTAGGAGCAGAGTCAAGTTCCTAGAACGTTCCTAGAAAGATCCTAGAACGTTCCTAGAAAATTCATCCTTAATTCTCTGTCTACCTCCTACTGCCTCCCTCTAGCTGGTAGATCATGTCATGCTGAAAGTCATTGAATTTGGATTTTCAGTATTACTGAAACAGAAATACATGATGTCCCTTGTCCTTTAGCTTCAATAGACCAGCTGCTTTCTTTCTCTCTCTTTTTTTCTGAATCAAATGAAGATAGCCCTTCAAGTAGAAGAGGCCCTTCTCTTTCCAGCAGACACCTGACCATATCTGTGGGATACTGGCTTCGGCCAGGGCCCAGTGGTGCTGATTCCCTTTGGCAGCCTTGCTTATGTTGAAAGATTCTTGTTCTTCTGATTTCTAGGTATCCATCAGTTTCGAACTCTGAGGAACACCATGCTTGCTAGTCTGAAAGAACCGGTCAGCTCGGCCGCTCTGGAATCAGCTCGGCTCAGTGCTGGGAAAGGCCTCCACATCCTCCAGAAATTCTACAGCAACACCAACTGGATTGAAATGGGGAACACGGATCCATACGAATTCCTGTGTAAGTCATTGTGAATATAGAAAACCAAGAAATGGCATTGCCTTATTCCAGTGTTTCTCAAGCTTGGCAACTTTAAGATGTGTGGACTTCAGCTCCCAGAATTCCCTAGCCAGCTGGCTAGGGAATTCTGGGAGTTGAAGTCCACACATGCTGGCTGGGGAATTCTGGGAGTTGAGGTCCATGCACGCTGGCTAGGGAATTCTGGGAGATGAGGTCCACACACGCTGGCTGGGGGATTCTGGGAGTTGAAGTCCATGCACGCTGGCTGAAGAAGTCTGGGAGTTGAAGTCCACACATCTTAAAGCTGTCAAGATTGAGAAACACTGCCTTATTCCATCCTACCCATAGCCAGCCCTGTATTTATTTGGTCTATATCCTGATTTTCTACTCTGTCAAGTACTCCAGCGATCCAAATTTAAGGTACAAGAAGAGAATATAAAAAGATAAATGCGCATTAAAACGAACACTCCCATTGGTCCTGAAAGCACATGATGGGTTCAATGCTTGGTGAAAGAGAAAGATCTTTATGGATTTTCTAAGCACTGGGAAAGTAAGGACAAAATGCCACTCCAAAAGGAGGAACTTTTACAGTGGGGGAGCAAGGCAAGAGACATTTTAGACATTTGAAAGGTCAGTAGGAAAAAAAAGAGGAACCAGACCGCAGAACAAGCTTAGAAAGAAAGAAATTCAAACTGAGCTGTTATATTAAGCCTCTTTTTATCCTCTTATGGATTTCAGATGAGGGATATCTGTGGAGGGGGGGTCAAAAACATCAAGATGGTGGCCACAACAGCGTGATGGAAATCTCACCCCTTTTTTTACATGCAGCATAAAAGATCAGGGTGTCAATTGTATGGTTGCAATATCTGGACTTTTTTGACCTCCCTCCCTGCTGGACGTCTCTGTTTCGGATAGCTTCTTTATGAAACAATACTCCATAATATAAAATGCGGACCAAAAGTCTCTGTCTAAGTACTAACCAGGTCCAACTCTTCCTGCATGGATGTCTACAGGGGTGGAGTCAAAACAAGCCCAACCATGTGATCGAAGCCTGTCAGCCCTTCGTGGTAGACCAGACTAGGAAACCGAAGTTACGAATACTAAGACTACTTTTATTATAAGGTTACAGAATCTTGCAAGGCTGAATGTGCTTCCCCCCTCCCTCCCTTTATCTTCATTAGAACTAGGGAGGGTCAGGTCTGAGTCATTTTCTCAAATTACATTCCTGCTTTGGACTCAGATTTCTCTTACCTGACCATTATCTTGGCTGCGGCTCTTCCTCCTGTTCCTCAAGGTTATTCTCACAGCCCATTACAAAGCCCCACCCCTACTTTTACATGTGTCAGGATGCATTTAAAAAAAGGTGAAATGAGGATTCCATGGTTTTGGCCACCACCTTGATATTTTTGACCTCACCCTGCTGGAGAGCGAGACAGGCTTCCCAATTAAAAGAAGCCAAATAATCAGAGTAGCTGTACTGTCTGAAAAAATTAAGGTCTCAGCGAGGCTACCAGAATGATCAGGACAGGACGCCATTGGTAGAAGTTTCCATTTAATTCCTTGCAGTCTAAAACTGGATTCTTCCCTTTCCCTCATTTGTGTGCCCCCCAGTAAATGAAGACAGTGACATGGAACCGGTCGCCCCTGCTTCTAAGGCAACTTGTAGAGACTGTATTAAAGAGGCAAGGTAAGATTTTCCCCCTTCCCCTTCCCTGGAATGACACAAAACCTTGCGAAGAGAAATACTGCAAGCAGAGGAAAGACTAAGAGCAGGAAAGTATATTAGCGTATGTCGAGTCAAGTCTGCTCTCAGTCATGGGTAAGCCACCAAGCATAGGTTCAGCACTGGATCACACCACCATCCACAAATTGCTAATTAAGGGCCATCTTGGCCACCATCTCTATCAATACTTGCTGCCCAGGTAACATGTCCTGATTTTCCTGAAGGTGGCCTCACCCGGGTTCATATTTACACCTTTGCAATCTGATGAGGGAAGGAGTAAAACACGCTTGATCCTAAAGGTCACAGACAATTTGGATGGAAAGCCAACTAGAAGTTACCATCCATTCATTGCGGGTTGGAACTACTGGTTCTTGCTGGCATCCAGAAATACCTTAATGTGCCTGTTTCTTCTAAGCCACAACTGGTAGAATGATATTACAAGTATATAGTGCTCTAATAGCCATACCTTCTCTCTAATGAACTCTGGGAAGAGCAGAAGGCTCTCCCCATGGGGACCCCTAAAAAAGGAAGCCTTAAGACTATTTGGCAACTCCCAGAATTCCTCAGGGGAAATCATAACAACAGACACATTGCTAATGCAGATAGACTGAGACTCAGCTTGAGCCCAAATAGCAAAGAAAACCCCCAGAGATTTCTCTCAAACTGATTTGCAAGATCCTCCAAAATGGACCACACTATATCATTGATAACAGCACATCCATTTTACTTTGGACAAAAATCTGCCCCCCAAATTCCATCTATTTCTGAGAGATGGGCATGAAAAAGAATGTGCAGTTCTTCCATTGGTGCATAAAAAGGACTATTTACATTAATTTCTCTGGGGAAATTTACTATTAAAGTCCTAATTAAAGAAATGTATGTAACAAAGAAGGATATAAGAGAAGTTAGCTTTTAAAAATAGATTCATTGGAAAATATGCTTTACAGTTATGCATTTAGGCAAAATTGCTTATAGCAGCTCTGTACATAATGGAATGTTGATGTGGATTTTTTTACAGATTTTAAAAACAAGTATCTGTAAAAAGAGAAAGAGACAGAGAGAAAGAGAAAGAGAAAGAGAAAGAGAAAGAGAAAGAGACAGAAAATCCCAGCATGAACAGTAAAATGGAGCAGATTGGCACAATTCTGTATCTTCCTAATTCAGTCCATCTTCTTCCAAATGTATTGGCAACAATATCAGCGTTCTCAACTAATACGGATCCCCTACTCTAATCCCTTTTTAAATCAAAAGTTAGAAATGGGAATCTTGATGTGTAGTCAGTCCTGGGTGTAAGGAAGGGAACTGATGAGGTAGGACCCAGCAGTTCCCAGGCAAAAGAGAGCTGTTATGTCAACACAAAGCAGATGCTTCTTAAGGCAAATAAGGCACCTTCCGAATATCTGTTGATCCAGACAGACGGGAGGAAAAGGACTAGACTTTAAACCCTGAGCATACATCTATATAGGGGCTTGGTCCATTCTTGTCTGCAACAACGAGATGAATTTAACCATGTCATGTCTATGAGCCTTCAGCCAAGTAAACCAGGAAATAAAGGGTTAAATGTCTGGAAAGCTAATGTTGGCAACTAGGCTGCTGTGGAGCTCCACAGCTCAACAGGTAGAATTTTCCTCTCCTGCTCCCATCTGTATGGGAGGAGAGCTTTCACCAAGAGACTTTAAAGACCATGGGATAGTATCTGAAGGGGGTGGGGCTTTGACCTGTATGGCTGTGGCCACCATCCTGACTTTTGGGTTCACACCCTTGTAAATGCCCCTGTCTGATATTGGCTAGTTTATTCCCCCAAATTTTGCAGGTTCATGATTAGGGTGGTTGGATGTAAATTCCTTAGTGCTGATCTACTCTTTCCCAGATCTTCCCTCCCCCGTAGGGAACACTGAACCTAAATTAATTTATTAATGTACTTCCATGTTTAACAGTGGCCGGTACTCATGTAAGGATAACCTACTAGTTGATAACATGCTCACGAGTGGGTACAAATTATCAGCGACCTGCAGGAACAAAATTCAGGGTAAGACCATTTGTGAAAATAGGCCATTTCATTCTGGAAGTTGTTTTTCCTGATTTTTGTCTTTATTTTTGTTACATTTATTTTTTAAAAATAGATTTTGTTGCCTTTTAGAAACAGAGGGTTTTGTATTTATGTATTTACGAAATATCTTTGCAAACCTTGGGTTGCTCTTACATCTGCCTGCACTGTATGTGTGCCTTGCAGAGTCTGCTTTTCTGCCTGCTTTTTCAGTTAAGGGGATTGATTGATTGATTGATTGATTGATTGATTGATTGATTGATTGAAAGTATAGGCTGCCCATCTCACATACATGACTCTGGGCAGCTCACAATTCAAGCAGAATAAAAACAGTAAAAAAAAAATCAGTTAGAAACAACTAAAATGACATATGGAGTCCTTGGTGCTCTCTGAGCTTGGCTGAATCAAGGAACTACCAAGGAGACAAACAATTAAGCAGACAAACAAACAAGCAGAAAATAATACCCTAATCAAGGAACGACCAAGGAGAAAACCACAACCCCACCAACACTGGCAGGGCAAGCTACCATACATAAACAGGGAGCAAACCGCACTCTCTTCTGGCACTGATGATGTTCCCTAGTCGGGTAATGAAACGTCTGCAAGCAAACAGCCAAGCTCAGAGAGGACCAAGGACTCCACCGTTCAACCCTGAGCTACAGATAGTCTCTTCTATTGAAAAATGACATTAAAAACAGCAGCTGTTTTTAGACTCACAAACACTCAAACAAGCCATGACCTGGGCTCACCCATGTTATCAGGACCCCAGGCATGATGGCAAAGACAGTTTTTTAGTGACTTGTGAAAGGCCAGCAGGATTGGGGCAAGTCTAATTTCTGGGGGCACGATGTTCCAGAGGGCAGGCGCCATGGCAGGAAAGGCTCTCCTCCTGGGTCCCAACAGATGATGCTCTCTCACAGACGGAACCCAAAGCATGCCTCTCCTGTCAGACCTCACAGGACAGGTAGACACCACTGATTTTCTTCCCCTTAAGACCCTATCTGTAACGATTTTGGAGAAGGCAACTAAGTCAAAAAGCTGTTCATCCCCAAATATGAGCTGTCATTGCCTTGATGTTTGATACTAACTCAGGCGGTTAGGTATAGCTCAGGAAGAATACGGGAGAAAGGGATGATGACGTCCCAAATTCAGCAACCAAATACCAGTGCTGGTGGCAAAAGGGCATTTTTCAGCCTGATGGTGTCTTTTTTAAAAAAAAAGAAAAGAAAAGAAAAGCAGGAATGTCCATCAGGGGCTTAAAAGTGTCGAGATGACCATTACAACTAGGCAATCAAAGCCCTGCCCTTTTTTAATGTGCATTTTATTATTTTTTTCCCCTTGCAGGCAAATGTGGACATGGTGGGGAAAATGATGTGACCCAAGATACCTACCCTACTGGGGGCATCAACAAAGAGACGTCGGACTCCCTGCTCTCCCCTCATTACTATTTGCACACAGAAGCTGCCCAAGTAGCCATTGAAGCAACAAAGAGGTTTTTTGTAGATGCGGGTAAGTCAGAGCCCCTGGTGGATCTGAAACATCCTGAAGAAAGGATGTCCTTCAGGATGTCCTTCATTGCCTTGCTACCAAGGACATTGAAGAAAACCACAGTGACAGCCATGAACATTCACGGGGAGGGCAAGGAAGGGCACATGACGAAGTGTGTGTCACGAAGTCATGATGACAACTCCGCCCCTTTTACACTTCATGGCACTGTGCTGGGGCCATGATGCCACGAGACACATTCTATCACTTCCAAGGAATCTCAGCTTCATGCAGATGCCCTTCTGGCTGTAGGCAGTATTTCAATGATCAGGGGACCCATCTATAAAAAGAGACATGTCTTCTGAGAAGCGCACGAGGGATAGTGGTGATGCACTGCAGTGAGGTCACCAGAGGGACAGGTTGAGATGTTTGGGGGGCTTTTTGGAGGAGGTTAAAGAATCTGTTGACCCTGTTTGAGTTCAAAAGCGAAGTAGGGATGGGCTTAGTTATGAGTTGGATGGGAGACGACTGTAGAATTCCAAGACTGCAAACTAAATTTTGAAGGCAGGCACAGAGGCCAGTGGAATAGCCAGGTTTTAACCACTTTCTGGAAAACGATTAGAGTGGAAGCCATCCAGATCTTAGAGGGAACTTGTTTCAGAAGGCTGAGGAAGTGATGGAGATACACTGCTTCTGGGCCTCTGATCATTTTATTTCCCAGGTTGAAGGTACCCAAAGCATCCCCTTCCACACAGAATGAACAGGCCAGCTAAAATCACTTAGAAGAGATGTTCTCACAGATATTTCCCTCCCTCCCTCCCTCCCTTCCTCCCTTCCTTCCTTCCTTCCTTCCTTCCGTGCCCATTCCTGAAAACTCTGGTCCTGATTTGGTCTTTCCTCAGAGGTCGGTCTTCTGAGTCAAGTGGGTCGAGAGATTTTCGAGAAATTTTTCAGCTTGGAAGGCTACTCCCTTACCTTCGTGATAGACACCACTGGAAGCATGAAAGATGATATTCTCCAAGTCAAACAACACTGCCTCAAAATCCTCCAGGAATATTCCACCTCTCCGGATGCCCCCCACAACTACATTCTTGTGCCTTTCAACGATCCAGGTAAGGTGACCAAGGAGAAATGAGGATTCTTGTACCCCACGTCAGCCTTTGGGGGGCAAAATGCTGTTGATCTTCTCAATGCATTCAGTTTTAAGGAGAAACCAGAGGATGTTTGTTGTCAAACAGTTGCATGGTGTTGCATAATGAGGCTGTTGGAAGTTT